TTTGAGATAATCTTTTCTTCTCACAAAATCAATGTAATGGCAATATTTCCATTTGTTGAATGTAAGCTTTTTCATATTCCAAGCTTGCCCGCAGCTCTGGTGACTTCACGTGTTCATGAGTCATGAAAATTATGGAAATAAATATAGGAATTATTGGATTGTTGGACTTCAAATCAGTAGGGGTTAAGTAATCAAAAGTAAGTAGGTAACTAGCTGTTTTATGGATGATATCTGACATTTGTTGAATGTAAGCTTTTTCATATTCCAAGCTTGCCCGCAGCTCTGGTGACTTCACGTGTTCATGAGTCATGAAAATTATGGAAATAAATATAGGAATTATTGGATTGTTGGACTTCAAATCAGTAGGGGTTAAGCAATCAAAAGTAAGTAGGTAACTAGCTGTTTTATGGATGATATCTGAAGTAACACTTTATTTTAATCCTTGTTACTTACACGTTACATGTACTTACTATTATAATAACAATAAATTATGCATAATTACATGCAAGTAACCCTAAGCTAAACCCTAATCCTAAACCTAACCATATAGTAAGTACATTTAGTTAATTAATATTACTCAGTACTTAAATGTATAATTACACTTTAACAAGGACACCTTAAAATACGTAAAGTGTAACCAAATATTATTACTGAAATCATATTAGTAATTAGTTACACTACTAGTTACTGCACAAAGTAATATTATTACTGTAACTAGTTACTACCAACACTGATTGGGATTAATAAATATATTTCAAAAGCCTATTTGTGTTTTGGTAAATCTTCAACAAAGAAGTTGAAAGTTTTTTATTATTATTTTTATATACACACTCCCTGGCTTCATTCAAATTCTTCAGTCAGTTTTCAACAATAAGAAATGTTTCTTGAGCAGCAAATCAGCATATTATAATGATTTCTGAAGGATCATGTAACACTGAAAACTGGAGTAATGGCTGTTTAAAATTCAACATTTCCATTACAGGACTAATTACGTTTTAAAATATATTAAAATAGAAAAGTTATTTTAAATTGTAAAAATATTTCACAGAATTACTTACTGTTTTACTTTTATCAAATAATAAGACTTCTTTCAAAAACAATACATTTTATTATTATTATTATTATTTTTATAAAATATAAATGTTCATGTATTTCTGTGTGTTTCAGGCTCAGGGGAGCAGACTGGCAGAGCAGCACTATCATTTGCAGCTCAAGAGGAAGGTGTGGGCAGGCTGGCACTCACTCATCCAGAACAGGTGGCGGGAGCATGTGGAGAGAGCATGTTGTGCCAGAGCAGAGGACGTCTGCATGCAGCTCTCTACAGACTACGAGACCAAGATGGCACAGGTGATTGGAGCCAATACCGCAATTTTACTGAAAGTGTGATTGATTCCATGTTTAATAGGTTACTAGATTTGGACATTACATGAAAGTTTTGTGATTGTGTTTGTCAGCATGTAGAGGAGCTCCAGAAAGCTCAAGCTGAAATCCACAGGCTGCACACGGAGCGAGAGCGCTATGAGGACTCTATGAAGAAAGCTTTCATGCGTGGGGTCTGTGCTCTCAACATCGAGGCCCTTAGCATGTTCAACACTGGAGAAGCGGGTAGACTGGACCGTGGTAAGATGATAGATGGGTTCAGCTCAATTACAGTGGCAATGATCACATTTAAGGCATGATGTAACAGTTTAACATGACTAATTGTTACATTCTTGAAGTGTACATTATGACAGATACTCAGATATTTCCCTTGATATGCAAAAAAATGTCGTAAAACCTCTTCACATTACTGTTAAAAACCGAGGATTTGACAAAAGGTCATTTCTAAATAACTGAATACACCCTAGGCATGTCATTTTATATGGCAACTAAATCAGATTGATTGCGGTAATGGTTTTCTAGCCTTTGGCTTTACTTATCAAACGTTTAATATTCCTGCATCATAATCAACCTTTTTCCCTTCTGTTGTCCCACATGTAGCTCATACTGTATATACAATGAAATAAGCAGTAAAGGTAGACAAATGTTAAAGGTTGAAGTGTGTCGATTAGGGCTGCACGATTAATTGAATGCGATTGTCATGCGCATTTTGTTAAAAAAGCCGGTTCTGTAATCAGCAGGAAATCATCATCACGTGCTTTCAGATGGAGCAGAATTTACTACACACAGCCGTAGTTCACTGACAAGTTACGCAAAATAATCGCAGATGATTTTATTGCGGGATTCTGAAATCGAAGAAATCATTCGCGATAATGACAGCTGTTTGCATAGCTTCTCAGTGAACTACGGCTCTGTGAAGTAAATGCTGCTCCATCTGAAAGCATGTGAAAATACCACATTTAATAACATATTTTTACTCCAAACTCACTTCATAACGTCAGTCGAGTGTTTGAAATAAATCCTTCTGTGAGATGATGTGGCTTCTTACACAGAATAAGGCACGCAACATATTAATCTTCTGTTTATTCAGCTGCAGCAATAGGCATTTTCTGGGTTTCTTCTGCGAGGCGTATTTGGAGTTTCAGCGCGAGAGCGCCCTCTGGCCTTTGGATGGAGATTTACTGCTGATCACAGAACAGTGCTTCACTGAAAGATACGCATGACAATCGCTGCTTCTGTCGAATCGCGATCTCGATTCCATTTCGATTTATCATGCAGCCCTAGTGTCGATTTATATTTTTCTGTGTTAAAATACTTATTCCGGGGTGTGCAGACAACTATAAGCCAACTCAGATAATGGACCTTTTTACCTGTGAAATTTTACCAAAATTTAATTGTGACTATTCCTTTATTTTATTTATTTATTAAATTTTTTTTGAGGCAATGAGCATCAGAGAGAGAGTGTGAGACAGAATTTGATATTAAAAGAATGAAATCGGATCTGAAACAATAATTCAAATTAAAGCAGGGCTGTTACTTCATGTACATGGTACCATATTCTTTTTTTATTTTGCGAAATAATTTCCAAAGATCAAACCTTATGCAGTATCATGACTCTAGCCTTCATTTATTATTCTTTTTTTTTTTTTCTTTGTAGATGTTCCACTTCCAGGGGACGAGCCAAGCAGCAGCTCAATTCGATTTATATTTTTCTGTGTATTTTAACACAGAAAAATATTTATCATGCAGCCCTAGTGTCGATTTATATTTTTCTGTGTTAAAATACTTATTCCGGGGTGTGCAGACAACTATAAGCCAACTATAAGTTTAGGAAACTTGTTTTTTAAATAAATAAAAAAAAGAAATTGCAGTACTAATTCACAAAAAAGCTGCTTGGTTTGAAAGTGATTTCTGTTGATATCAGATAATGGACCTTTTTTGCCTGTGAAATTTTACCAAAATTTCATTGTGACTATTCCTTTATTTTATTTATTTATTTATTTTTTTGAGGCAATGAGCATCAGAGAGAGAGTGTGAGACAGAATTTGATATTAAAAGAATGAAATCGGATCTGAAACAATAATTCAAATTAAAGCAGGGCTGTTACTTCATGTACATGGTACCATATTCTTTTTTTATTTTGCGAAATAATTTCCAAAGATCAAACCTTATGCAGTATCATGACTCTAGCCTTCATTTATTATTCTTTTTTTTTTTTCTTTGTAGATGTTCCACTTCCAGGGGACGAGCCAAGCAGCAGCTCAATGGCCAATCACCCTCCACGGACTATCTCGTCATCACGGCTCAGTCCAGTTGTCATGGAGAGTCCAGTACATCTGGGCATTACAGAGGATGTAGAGGCGGTAAGACGTGCAAGAAACAATGCTTTGAACCCAGCAGTCATATTTAGCACTATTGTTTTCATATTGATATACACTGTGTATGCAATGCTCTTCATTTCAATATCAAGCTTGATGGAACATCATTACGAGATTGTAGTGTTTTCTTTTTAGTGTATTTACAGATGCCCTTTAGTTGTCAAGTTAACCTCAATTACTTCATTTAGGACCAAATGCTTGTATTTTCATTTTTTGTTTTATTTCCTAGAAAATTTCACATGACAGTCTAATCGGTCAGAATAATGTTTTTAAATTCTTGTTTTTATTTATCTCTCTCTCTTCAGGAACATTTTGTCTCTCAGCCTGGCTCAAGCACAGGCCCAAGAGCAGAAACTTTTTTCTCAACCACGGTGGTGAATTCTTCCGGACCACCAGGGGGCAGTACAAGCTCTTTCAGACAGGTACCACATTTCACTGCAAGTATATTTATAAATATATTTTATATCAACCCTCTCAACCCGTTTCTAACCTCTCTTTTCAAAACGTTTGTGATTACATTTATATATTTGTGTATCGAATGTTCTGAAAACTGCTTACTTTTAATGGCACTACTATTCTCTTCTTTAGGCGAGCACACGGATAGTAACAGCTGGCAAGCAAAAAGCCTCCAAGACAGTGACCGCTCGTTTGATGGGACGGCCAGAGCATAACCGGACGGGCCGCCCCCCTGCAGCTCTGCATGTCATGGGCGTGGCTCCTCCCATGAGTTCAGTTGTTGTAGAAAGACACCACCCTGTCACTCAGGTATCAAGAAACATCCCTACAGATGTCGAAGTGCATGTGATGATATCAAAACATCAAACACACATACTGTTCATTCAAATTTTTTCTTTTTTTTTTCACCATTTACAGCTCACTGTCGGCCAGGCAACAGCAGCTAAATTCCCTCGCTCTGCTCTTCAGAGTCAGACTGTCTCCAGTAGCAAGAGCTCCTCCAGCCAACCCAGAGGCCCCTCCTCCTCCACCTTTCACATCCACTCCATCAAAGTTGTGGACTAACACACACACACACACTCGTTCATTTATCTGTCAGGCCTTGAGTCTGGATATTGTAACTCAATAGTATTTGATTTGATAAGAGGCTTTGAATTAGATTAATACATTTTTAGTACTAAATGTAATTTATTTTTTCATAACATGAAATGAAGGTAAGTTGTTTTATACTGAAATTGCCAAGATTTTAATTGAAGAATCATTATTTATTACATGATGTGGTTTCTTTAATTTATTAAAGTTGTTTATCACCATTTACTTTATAATGTTTTACAAAGTCATAATCAAAATCTGCAACACTTTTCTGATTCCTTGTTTCAGATCAGTCAGCTACTGTATTAATTTGTACTGTACCTTAATCCACAGGTGGTACTAAAGTTAATTGTTGGATCAATTAGAAATTAAAGTGCTGTTTTTAGTTCATAGCAGTCTTTGTAGCATCTTGAATTCATGAAACTGTGCATTTCCGTGTATCAATGTTTGTTCCTTCCATTCTTATTTTTTCTGGGAATGAGAAAAAATGTATAGAATGAGATTTCACCATTTTGTTCCTTGCTCATTTTACTGTAAGGGACATTATAAAGACTGTGAAAGCATAAATGTATATTTTTTATGTCGCAAAGCCATATTACTTTTTGTATTAGCAACGCATCCCTCAGGACGTCCACAAACAAAGATAATAGACAATGAAATTGTGAACACATCCTACCAGCAATCTTTGTAATCCCAACAGAAAGCAGTGCTTCATACAGGCCTTTGGCTGGGCTGCTCCCTTCTATCATGATTCCATGAAGCCAGATCAGAAGCATCCTGTTCCCATGCTCTTGGAAACTGTTAGGACCTAGTACAACAAAATACTCAAGTTTTTAAAGGGATAGTTCACCCCAAAATTAAAATTCTGTCATTAATTACTCACTCTCATGTCGTTCCAAACCCGTAAGACCTTTGTTCATCTTCAGAACCCAAATTAAGATATTTTTGATGAAATCCGAGAGCTCTCTGACCGTCCATAGAGAGCAATGTAACTGAAATGTTCCCAGACCCAGAAATGTAGTAAGGACTTTAACGTTAAAATAGTCCATGTGGCATCAGTGATTCAACCGAAGCTATGAGAATATTTTTTTGTGTGCAAAGAAAACAAAAATAATGACTTTATTCAACAATTCTCTTTCGCGTCACCATCCTCTGACATTATCAAGAGTACCATGATGCATGCGTGTAAAATTTATTAATAAAATGTAAAAAAAAAAAAAATGTTAATTAAAAATAAATTAATTTGTGTTCCGAAGATGAACGAAGGTCATACAGGGGTGAGTAATTAATGACAGAATTTTTATTTTTGGATGAACTATCCCTTTAGGGCCTTATAGTCAGTATCACTGATTCAGATTGATCTATAACATGTTTTATAGATGTATTGTCTAGATTGCCTTTCTTCCAATGGAATTTTGAAATAATAATTTGACCATAATTATAAGTAGTTAAGAAATAAATATATGCATGATAGTCAAACAGATTTTAGTTTTATTAAAAATAACATTTTAATAATAAATACATTAGGCCTACAGTTCAACGGTTTGGGGTTGGTATAATTTTTGAAAGTTTTTAAAAGTCTATTTTAAAAACATTGCAATTTAAAATAACTTTTCTATTTTAAAAGTATTAATTAAAAACAGAAATAAAAAAATCTTGTTGACCCAAACTTTTAAGCAGTAGTGTACATTTCACAATAAAATTAGTCTCAACTTTTAGTTTTTGATTTAAAGGGATAGTTCACCCAAAAATGAAAATTCTGTCATGAATTACTCGCCTTCATGTCGTTCCAAACCCGTAAGACCTTTGTTCATCTTCAGAACACAAATTAAGATATTTTTTATGAAATCTGAGAGCTCTCTGACCCTCCATAGACAGCAACACATGTAATGTTCCCAGGTCCAAAAAGGCAGTAAAGACATTGGTAAAATAATCCATGTGACATCAGGGATTCAACTAATTTTACGAAGCTACGAGAAAACTTTTTATGCGCAAAGAAAACTAAAATAGCAACTTTATTCAACAACTCTTCTCCTCATCCTGTCTGCAGCGCATGGCACATTTGCAGGAAGACTGGATGAGGAGAAGAGTTGTTGAATAAAGTCGTTTTTTTTTCTTTGCGCACAAAAAGTATTCTCGTATCTTCGTAAAATTATGGTTGAACCCTGATGTCACATGGACTATTTTACCGATGTCCTTCTACAGTACCTTTCTGAACCTGCAACATTACAGTTTAGTTGCTGTCTATGGAGGATCAGAGAGCTCTCGGATTGCATCATAAATATCTTATTTTGTGTTCTGAGGATGAGCGAAGGTCTTATGGGTTTGGAACGACATGAGGGTGAGAAATTAATGACAGAGTTTTCATTTTTGGGTGAACTAACCCTTTAACATTGATGTTGTTGAACTTCCTGTTTGGGGTTTATTTTGATGTGTTTTTGAATATAACGATCTGATCCTAATGCATCTTGTCTGACCTGTCCACTGCTCCTCGATGGCAGCCACCTGATCATCTGTGAACTCCCAGAGCTCCGCCAACTTCTTCCAGTCATTGCGCTTGAGGTGTTTGTATGCGAGGTCCCATATTATATCGCGCACCGGCTTTGTGTCAGGAGAGTGATCTAATTTAAACGTCAGCGGTGATTCGCTGTGCAGGCTCTCAATAGCATCTGTATTAGTCTGAAAGGGTAATCAAATAACATCCAGCTCTGAGAAAGGCCAGATTCGCCAGAAGCCAGGTGCTGAAATTAGCACAGGTATATTTACAGCACAATGAATATTATGTTTGCTGTTATTCAGAATGATCAGTTTTGACATATGCAACCCTCGTGCAAATAAATGTGCTGTGGTGACCTTTCTGAATTGAATTATACATGTTTTAATACTGCATTACACCTCCTGCACTGGGTTTAATAGAAAATGACAGAGGTTATAGCAGGCCGTGACGTTTGGTGGGAGGAAAATGTGCTTCCCACTCCTTTACAAAACACAATACCTTTTATTCCACGGTCTGCTTTGACCCACATTGGAAATCTGAATACCTACCATTTGAAAATCGTGCTTCCATCTGAAATATCTCTCAGCTTTGATGATCATGTCCACAATAATCACCATATTTCCCCTCGCTGCCACTCTAAGAGTTGTTTTATTTTGCTGTGAAAGAAAATAAAAAGTACCAAAATAACTTCTCACAAATTGCCTATTTCTCTACGGTCTTTTAAAAGCGTTATCAGGCAGTGTAAAATGTCAGACACGGTCTGTCACCCTGTCCTGAATCTCCAGATCCACCCCAGCTTTCAGAATCATCTCCACCACATCCACCTTTCCCATCTCAGCGGCGATATGGAGTGCAGTCTGCCCCATCTGAGTGTGGTGAATGAATAATAAACTACTGAAACACGTGCATGCAGTGATAAATATCATTTCACAAACGATGTATGAAAAGAGATAACGCACATGATCCTTTACGTTTGGATCACAGCCAGCCTCAAGTAAGGTGTGGATTACTGGAATATGACAGTTCTTCACTGTCAGATGAAATGGAGTGTGCAATTGCTGAAATGAAACAATCAGTCAATCAATCTTGAAGGTTTAATCTAGCATTAGGGTATTTATGCTTAATATGGATTATACTCATGTTGTCATGAAGGAAAAAGATGTGTGTTAAAATGCTCAGTACTGGAGACCAAATATAAATATATATTTAAAAAAAAAAATATATATATATATATATTGAATTCAATAAGAAGCCAAAGGGGGGAAATCGCAATGTTTGAAAATGTCAGTCAAGTATTTTATACATTGTCAGTTTTCACTTTTGGTACTAATTAATTATTAATTCTTTTAGCTTTGAGGAATAATGTATCTGTGTTTAAAGCAAAAGCTTGAATTGGACATATAACTGTTCAAAAGTTCGGGGAAGGTAAGATTTTTATTTTTATTTTATTTATTTTTTAAATGCCTCTTATACTCACCATGGTTGCATTATTTGATCAGTAAAGTGCAGTAAACACAGCAATATTTTGAAATATTAGCACCATTTAAAATAACTTTTCTATTTTAATATATCGTAATTTTACCCAGTGATGGCAAAGCTGAATTTTCAGCATCATTATTCCAGTCTTCAGTGTCACATGATCCTTCAGAAATCATTCTGTTATTTGCTGCTCAAGAAACATTTTGTGTTATCATCAATGATGAAAACAGTTTGTGCTGCTTAATAGTTTTGCGGAAACCATGATACATTTTTTTTCCACGATTCTTTGATTAAAAAAAGTTAATAAGAACTGCATTTATTTAAAATACTAATCTTTCATAGCATTATAAATGTCTTTACTGTCATGAATAATTGTATGCATCCGTACTAAATACTAGTGTTCATCTTTAAAAAATAAATAAATAAATTAGTGCTGTCAAATGATTAATCGCGATTAATCGCATCCAAAATAAAAGTTTTTGTTTACATAATATATGTGGTGTGTACTGTGTATATTTATGTATATATCAATACATATACATACAGTATATATTTTGAAAATATTTACATGTATATATTTATATTCATATAATTTATATTATATATAAATATATTTAATATACAAACATAACATTTTTCTGAAGTATGCACATGCATGTGTGTGTACTTATATGTAAATAATAAATATACACAGTACACACAGATATATTATGTAAACAAAAACTTTTATTTTGGATGCGATTAATTGCGATTAATCGTTTGACAGCACTCAAATAAATAAATAACCAAAAATACAAATAACTTGCTGGCCCCAAACTTTTGAACAGTAGTGTTCATTATAGCTATCTATAATGTAACTTAATTCATTTGTATTAAAAATATATTGACCAGTTGATTAAAAAAAATCTTTATCTTTAATCTTTAATGACAATGTTTAAAATGCCATTCTTATGTAATGTTACACTATATGCTTAAGTTTAACTTAAAATTGACATTAGTGTCAATTCAGTAGCATTAAAACTTCAGGCAGCAGAAAAAAAACAAGGTTGAAAATTTCTTACCTGGTTCTGAGCATTTTTATGAAAGTGAAATGAATATGAATTTATTTAATAAATTAACAGTTAATTTAATTTACATAAAAGCAATAGTTACTCATTTTAATGCTAGTGGTGTTACAGTAATATAAAAAAATAAGAGTTTAAATAAATTTAAGGTTAAAGGTCATGTGTGTTCATGAGTTTCTACATGATAAATTATTGCATGAAAATCTGAAAAAAAAACAAAAAAAAAACTTTTATTTAAACAGTTGGGATTATTAGCCCTCTTGGTAAATATGAGCAAAGAATGTTATGAAAATACATATGCATTGTTTATCCTTTTGGTCTTTCATTCAAAAAATTCACAATTGTGAATTATTTATGTGAAAAAATATATATGTAAAATTATGGTTCGAAATATTTTCTGCAAGTTTTCTGAAACACTTGAAGTTCATCATTTGGGAGAAAAAATAATTATAGAGTAGTAGTAGATTTAATGTGGTATGTATTTATATGGAAATGCCACAGCAACTGCAGAATAATCCATAGAAATAATTTTTTTTCAAAAATGAATCACTGTATTGATACATTGCTTGTCATATTATCTGACAGTTGGATTGTGTGTTTGAGTGAGCTGGTGTTGATTTGATGGTTTTATGTATAGCGTAATTTTTAAGCGGATGTTGATTTTTTTTATTTTTTTTGTATTGGGATAGAACTACATGTATTAGATATAGTGTAAATTTTATTTTGAAGCATCATGTATGTATTATGTATAGATTATTTATTTTATATTTTTAGGGTAACAATTTTACCATCAGTCCAGGGACTGCAGATGCAAAATAAGCCTTCTGGCTAATTCTGGCACAATGTACATTTATGTATCATTGATGTGCATTGTTCCTGTCAAATAAACCTGAAAATACATAAATTAAATGGTAAGCGAACAGCTCACCGTATTTTCAATGCTTTGGTCAGCTCCAGCTTGCACAAGTAACTTGAGGATCTCCAAACTCCCAAACCATGCTGCTAAGTGAACAGCAGTCAGTCCATGCTGCAGAAACACAGTATGAGCGTCGTACTGATCTTAAGGGAAACAGTGTCAATCATTAATGACTGGGCAAACATATACCTTATCTTGCAAATCTAGTAAAAATATATTGACCAGTTGATTAAAAAAAATCTTTATCTTTAATCTTTAATGACAATGTTTAAAATGCCATTCTTATGTAATGTTACACTATATGCTTAAGTTTAACTTAAAATTGACATTAGTGTCAATTCAGTAGCATTAAAACTTCAGGCAGCAGAAAAAAAACAAGGTTGAAAATTTCTTACCTGGTTCTGAGCGTTCATTTGGGCTCCACTATTGATGAGGAGTTTGACAATAGGAAAGTGGCCCCTCTCACAGACTGGATGCAGAGGACTGCTTCTGCTCTGAAAATCATCACAGGTAACCATTCTCTAAGAAACAATGCTGAATATGTTTAATACTTCATGGTTAAAACATTGTCAATAATGGTAAAAAAAACGTTGCCCTCAAAAGAGATGTATGAAATCATCACCTCTGTACATACTCAGTACATACTAAGGTGAAGATGTTTGGGTCACACTGTGCCTCCAGCAGGGCTTGTACACAGTCCTCATGAGCTCCATCTGCAGCCAGATACAGAGCGGTCTGTCCTGCCTACACACCGCACATACATCACATCAATGTGTGTGTGCATTTTCTGTGTTGAGAAGGATCTGTTACATTAAATAGGACAGATTTTTACCTGGTTGACCTCATTGCGAATGTTAAAGTTGTCTAGAAGTAACTGCAGCGCTTCACATTGACCATTTTTGGCTGCCAGATGCAGAGGTGTGTCCCCAACCTGTCAATCAAACCAGAGAAAACCAGGCCCTGCTGAACAAATTATTACAGCTACAACACATACTTTTCTGTGAATTAAAAAAGCATCTACAAACTGAAGGATGTAATAAATGAACCTTATTTTCCTCCATGGCGGCCATGTTGTAAGGCTCCTCCATCAGCATCTGTAGCATGCGAACACAGCCGTGTGCCGCGGCCAGGGCAAAAAGCCTGTTACCATACTGACAGAAAAACAACATGCAAACTTTATGTTTGAGTGTTTCGTTTTATTCTGGTTCTTGCTTTTATTGTAACTGCTGTTTCCTTACTTGGTCTTCTTTGTCAAGTTCTCCCATTTGCAAGTCATCAACAATGTAAGCTACAATATCAGTGTGATTGTTCATGGCAGCGCAGTGCATCATGTTCAGACCCTCCTGAACACAGAATATTTACATTTATGTCCTAAATGCATTATGAATAAGCCATATGAGGTGTTACACAATTGCAGCGGCAGATGTTGTCACTCACTTATAGAGGGCGTCTGCAGTGTACACAATTCAAATGGAAAACAAATATAATTTAAAACACTTAGAATAATACACAACATTAGAATCCTTTTTACAATATCTTGCAAATCTAGTTTGGCTCTCCTTCGAAGGAGCACATCAACAGCTTCCACATTTCTGAAGGCCACAGCATAATGAAGAGCAGTTCGACCGTGCTGACATGAGACACAAATTCATAAGAACTGCTCAGAGACGGTGAACAAACACGTCTGTATTTGCTACTGTGCAAATTCTGCTCTTAAACACCCATCACACATGTGTGTAAGTGAGCTAAGAGCAGTTTATTGACATACCACATTCTTGGAGTTGACATTAACGCCTCTCCCGAGAAGCTTCATGCCCTCCACGTCGTTTCTCTTTGCTGCTTCTATGAAGTCTTTCTCAACCTCCAACACTGTAGGTTGAATGATCAGTTGAATACTAGTAGGCTACTTTACATAAAAGGTATGAAACAGCGATGTATTAGATGGCATGATTATCATGTTTATATTGGTTCGACATGGTATTTACATAGTACTCACTATGGTTTTACCATGGTACTATGTTTCAAAACCATGGTATTTTTTTTTCTAGAGCAGTTTTTAATTATGAGTGACTACAGGAAAATATTAAAGTAACTACTATTCTGTTTGATGTACAACAGAGATGTGTAAATATCACTGAGTACAGTTTGTGTTTTGGGTGTTCACTTTAAGGACCACTGGAAGACATGATGTCAAGTGTGATGAATGCTGAGTCAGACAGGCCAATAGTATGCACTTCAGTTACCGCTGAAATAACATTTGTGTGCTGGAATTCTAATCTGATTTCAATATTCAGAAATATTCCAAGTTCGGTACAGTTATAAAATAGGTTTAATATTGAAGGAAAACAACAAACAAACAATGACTCATACCTTTTTTCGTTAAAAAGATAAAACTAAGGTTGCCGAGGTGAGGTACTTAAAAAAGGAAGTGATCGTGATCGATTTCTGGAGTATTTACAAGCAGAAATGTGACGTTCGTAATTGTATAAAATCACTTATAAATTCTTCTGTTAAAATTGTATAAAATACTATTTCAATCTTTGTAAGTATTAGTAGTAACTTTGAAAGAAAAGTTTGGTGGGTTTTTTTTACACTAAGATCATGTTAACATACTTTTTTATGTATTGTTCAATTATGCTTATGTCTTCTTGTCTTATTGATATTTATCATTTACAGATTGGCCTCATTCACTTCCATTGTAAGCGCCTCAGGGTAATTTGGATATTATTTCTTTCTTTCTTTCCATGGACCGTGGTAAACCGTGGTACATATATTGTGTTTAACTTGTACTGAACACTGAATATTCCTCTAAATATAGGATGGAAAATGAATGGTAGACGGGCATCAATCTTTCCAGTCTTATGAATACATATGAACTCATAATTCAAAATAGAGGCTATTTTAGAGTAACAACTTGTTTCTTCAATTTGCTTGACAATTATTAACACATGAACAGTACTGAGGAATCATCATAACCATAAAATATATGAAATATCATTAGCACAATCAAGAAGGAAAATCTATACTCACACATTTCCTTACAGTCATAACCACCATCTTCTGCAATGTCCTTTGGCAGTATGAATTCAGTAAAACCTTTGACATGGTCTGATTTTAACCATGTTTTGGGATGAAGGTTCTCCTTTTTCCAAACAGGCTGCTTCAGTATGCAGTCTTTTATGGCTTGAGCTTTCCTCTCCATAGTACTGTACTGGTTGCACAGCTCTTAGAGTTGAAGACTTGTATTCTGTAAAATATACCAGGTGGATGGTTTTGTTTGCACTCAGAGCTCACGCCCCAAAGACATGCGCTCTCACCCAGAGTACATACAGTTAAATGGCTGATTGTGTACTGTGCAGATATAGGGAATGAGGTTTAAGGTTATTATGCATATATACACTACCATTCAAAAGTTTGGGTCAATATGATTTTTCCTCCCCAATATGAATACATTTATTTAGTAAGGACAAATTCAATTTATCGAAGTGACATTTACATCTACAGATGATTTTTATTTCAAATAAATGCTGCTGTTTAAGTTTCTGTTCATCAAAGAACCCTGAGGGGAAAAAATGCATCTCGCAGCATAACTGTTTTAACATTGATCATAATAAATCATTCTTGAGCACCAAATTAGCATACCAGAATGATTTATGAAAGATCATGTGATACTGAAGACTTAAAATAAAAAATGTTTCACAATATTGCTTTTGTAACTGTATTTTTAATCAAATAAATGCAGTCTTGGTGAACATAAGAGACTTCTGTCAAAAACATTTAATAATTCTTACTGAACATTTGAATGGAAGTGTACTTTACAATGATATAAATAACATCCTAGCATTTATCATGGAAAGAGAGAATTGATGAATAAACAACAACAAGAGTAAAGCTGTTTAAATAGTTTCCAAACAAAGAAAAACAACCTGATATATTTCCATACTGACACAAAGCAACATTAAATGAGATTAAGAGAACAATGTTTTTGTTCATTTATTTTTGGTGCAAATTAGATAGCCTATATACTGTACATGCAGAATTGTAAAAATGTATCAATTATGATACTTGAAAATATTTATTATTTAGATGGTAAGCCTTATGTCATGGTTTATAAAGTGCTTTACAATATCCATACAAAATTAAATGCTCATTTCTATTTATGCATAGAATAAAATAATTTCACTCATATATAAATGTACATGTAACATCAATGATCTACACAAACACTGAAAGAGGCAAGTCCAAAAGTATAAATTTGAAGTACAATATGAAGCATTTTTCCACCACACAAATACACATTTCAATAAATACAACCGTTTTTCAGCTTTGTGTCAGAGTATATCATCTGAAACATCTCTTATCAGAAGTCATCTTATTAAACACCTGATTTTCTTCACCATACAAGAATCTTCTTACTTGTTCCATCAAAATATTCCCTCAAGTGAATCCAGCAAAATCCTTATGGATTATAAAGTCTCTTCTTCATAAATTAAATCTCTCTGGATTTGTAAAAGAATTAGACTTTCTGTCCGGCATTGCCTTTGAAGAACTTGTCGATCGTGTGTTTTGTGCTCAACACTTTGGGTTTTTTCGAGGGAGGAAGAGGAGATGATCCCTGCCTGTAGTTACAATGGAGAATACATAAATATCATGAGACACAAAAATAATACACATTAGTGTTAGAGTTTAGGGCTGGTAAGATTTGTTTAATGTTCATGAATAAAGCCACTTAATGCCAATTTACTGCTCAAGAAACATTTCTTATTATTATCAATGTTAAAAACAGTTGTGCAGCTTGATATTTTTGTGTAACCTGTGATACATTTTCAAGATTCTTTGATGAATAGAAAGTTAACAAAAAGACAGAAATATTCTGTAACACTATAAATGACTTCACTGTCACTTTTGATCAATTTATTGCATCCTTGCTCAAATAAAAGTATTAATATTTAAAAAAAAATCTTACTGACCTCAAACTTTTTAAACATTTGTGTACATTCAAATTGCGTTCTTACAATATTGTACTATTGCCTTTTACAGTTAAATACCTTTTGCTTTTTTCTCTCACTTTAGAAACTCTTCCCTGGTCCCCCAGTTGGCCTATAAAAAACAAAACAACAAAAGTATTATAATCATTTCCTTTCCTTACTTGTCATGGTATGGTTATTGTTACCAAATGCGATTCCTTGAATTCTTCATTTTTGGTCACACTTTATTTTAAGGTCCAATTCTCACTAATAACAAACCATTAACTATGACTTTTTCCTCAATAAACCCCTAATTTGCAGCTTATTAATAGTTAGTAAGGTAGTTGTTACGTTTATGTACTGGGTAGGACTAGGGATGTAGAATATGGTCATGCAGATATAAGTACTAATAAACAGCCAATATGTTAATAATAGGCATACTAATAAGCAACTAGTTAATAGTGAGAATTGGTCCCTATACTAAAGAGTTGATTATTATTCTTTTTTTTTGCACTGACCTCGTACGCTCTTGAGTGCTGGTTCATCTGAATGACCCACAGGAGGATGAGATTCTCTAAACTCCAGCAGAACATCCTGGTTGAGACACATATCCACATGCCGGTTGAAGAGCGCGAGGTCATCAGTGCTTTGCGGCTGACTGCACACGGGACACGTCAAAGACGAGCCGTTCGAGTCAGATGACATCTCTGTGATGGCCTCAAGATTGTGTGTTGTGGGTGATGCTTTAGAACTAGATTCACAAACAGGCATCTTCTTTTTAGAAAGAACAGAACGCTTTCCATTTGTTTTTGTCCTGTGACTAAAAAATGGAGTCTTGAAATCACCGTCTTCATCAGTTTCCACCAGTGGCACAGAGATGCTAGTGGACGGCTTCTCTTCATTACAGGATGGGTCGTGGCTTGAGGATTTTAAAGTCCTGCTTTCTGAACTTGATGCAGGTGGTTTGCGGTTGAGCTCTTCCTGTTCCTTAGGCGCATCCAAATGTGTGGGTTCATTATCCACCGCACTGCCCTTCAGACATTCATCAATATGGTTATTGAAGGCTGTAAGGTTTACATCCTTCATCTCTGTGTTGCACACAGGACAGGTGAGAAACGGCAGCACCTGGGTTGAGATTTTAAATGATGGCTTTAAAACTGCAGGTTTGTTTACGTAGCTTGTTGTGTCTGTCCCTGAGTTTGTATTTGACAAACTTTTTGCTGATGTTGTGTCTGACAGATTGTTTGTTGTTGGTAGATCTGTCTGTGTAGCAGGAGCTGCGTCAGCACTATTGTTTGTTGTGTCTGTACCAGCCGTAACAGAAATTTGTACCTGCTGCTGCTGTAGTCTTTTCAACTGTGCTCTTTGAAAAAACGATTGCTGCTGCGGTCCTTTAGATTCGGGTTTTTGCTCAGACACAGAAGGTACTTTCATCTCAGTGGCCTGTGGCTTTAGGAAACTGGCACCATCACTGTCTTCTTCTGCTTTGAGCACAGATCCAGCACACTGCGTGAAACTGCCTGAATCAGATCCACCTTTCTGCAGGAATCCCATTATACTCCTCTGAAGAGGTTTTTTATCTTCAGCGCTGATAAAGCCGGACACTCGAACACCTGTTGCAAAACACACATCAGAATCTGAATCGGAAATAAACACACGTAAGGTAGCTTCAGAAAGAAAAAAAAAAAGGATCTGATTGTATGGTCTGATTCTTTGTGCATGATGTCAAATACTGCAATGATGAATAAAAAAAAACAAATAAAAAAAAAACATGGCAAATATTGTATGTAATGATACAATAAACTTTAGACAAAACAAAATATTATGAGTTAATAAGATTTTATTATTATTATATATAGTTCATAGATTTTTGTTTAGTCTAAAGTTTATATATTTTATAGAAATTATATAAAGATTGTATTTTTTAAAAGTTACATTTATTTGGCATTTATTATACTTTATAGTTTAAGACTTTGACAATAAAGACTTTTATAGGTCTAATGTTACAAAAAAAAGAGATTTCATATAAACACAGTTCTTTTGAACTTTCTGTTCATCAAAAAAATGTTTCAGTCTCCACAAAAATATCAAGCAGCTTTGTTTTCAAGATTGATAAAGTATGATCAGCAAAAAAGCATATCAGCATATCTGATATCTGATCAAATAAGCATAATTAGAATGATTTCTGAAGGATTATAAATGATATTTCAAAATCTGATCAAATAGAAAACATTTTAAACTTACTGTAATTACAGTTTTATGGTATTTTTGAATAAATGCATCCTTTGTGATATACATATATATGTATATGTATACACATTAATATTTCAAAGAAATAACGGAGAACAACTTCGAGAATAACATGAGGTGTAATATATACCCATGAGTCTTAGTTTTAGTGGCTGAGGGCTGACACTGTCAATCTCAACTTTGAGAAGGTCCTTAGCAGCAGCAAAGATCTCCTCCTCAGTGCAGACAGCGTACTGCAGCGTAAACGCTCTGGTCTTCACTTCAAATTTGACGTTCTTCAGCTTCAAAGTAACAGTTTTGCCCTATAGTACAAACACAAATACATTCCATCTTATGAATGCAAGACCAATATTTCTGCATGTTTACATTTATACTAATTGTGTATGGAGTTTATTTGACATGTTTCTGCACATCATAAACTACGTGGAAATCATTCAGGGTGTTATACAGACATGTTTATAATGCTTAAAACATCCAATAAGTAGGGAAGTGAAACAATTGAGAAGATGTTCCTATACAACACACATAAATAGAATATATACTGTATATATATATATCTTCGAAAAAACATCTGCAAAAGCAACTCTAGTACATAATAATAATAATGTTGATGTTCATACCAAAGCATCTGAGATTTACCAATCAAAAGATAAATAGTTCAGAGTGATATGCAAGTTTTTGCTGGCTATTTCCGACACTCAGTATAAAGGTGAGAGAAGCTACTTTTGGTCTGAAACCCAGGTACCTTAAGGCCCTCCCGCTGAAGGTCCTGTGCTAAGTCCTGACAGAGATCTCTGCACAGGGAATACTGCTCCTCTGCATCACTCATCTCCACAAACGTCCTAAAAGAAAGAGAGAATAGAAATAACACAAATAAATTGAGGGAAAGTAGAAACAGAATGTTGATTTCAAGTTTACAGACATGTTTGGATCTGAAACATGTGGTGAAGACTGGAGAAAACTTTGAGCAGATTACCTCTCAGTGCTCATGCTTTTTCTCTCTGAGTCCCTGAAACAAAAGAATATTTTTCCCATGAAATATTAGAATAAAAATCTTATTCTGAATCCAAAAAATCACTATGCAAAAATTTGACACTGCAAGACTAAAAAAAACACACCTCTCT